CCTTGGACATTCGGTCTTGGCTAACAAACTTGTGAGGTATGATATTTCAGAGCCCAGCCGAGTTCTTACATGTGTTGTTGCCCAGTCTTCACTATTGGAGCAGATCAAGGCTCGACAGTTTGATGATCCACACTTGGCATTTCTCAGAGAGACGGTACTACAGGGGTAGTGCCAAGGAGGTTTCTATTGGCGAGGATGGTGTTCTGCGACTCTAGGGTCATCTATGTGTTCCTAATGTCGTTGACGTGAGGGAGAGGATTCTAGAGGAGGTGCACGGTTCTCGATATTTCATTCGCCCAAGTGCTACGAAGATGTATCGCGAACTAAAAGCAATATTTTTGGTGGCGGCGGATGAAGAAAGACATAGTTGAGTATGTAGCTAGATGCTTGAATTGCCAGCAGGTTAAGTATGAGCACCAAAGGCCAGGAGGCCTACTCCAGCAAATGACTATACCCGAGTGGAAGTGGGGGCACATCACAATGGACTTCGTAGTTGGGTTGCCACAGACCTTGCGGAGGTTTGATGCAGTTTGGGTCATTGTAGACAGATTGACCAAGTCAGCACACTTCATTCTAGTTGCAACTACTTATACTTCAGAGAGGTTGGCCCAGATATATATTCGGGAGATAGTTCGGTTGCACGGTGTGCCTGTTTCCATCAAATCAGACAGAGGCCCTCAGTTCACTTCGCATTTTTGGAGAGCCGTAAAGAGTGAGTTGGGGACCCGTGTAGAGCTCAGTACTGCGTTTCATCCACAGACCGATGGGCAGTCAGAGCGGACAGTCCAGATCTTGGAGGACATGCTCAGAGCATGTGTGATTGACTTTGGGGGACAGTTGGATCAGTTCTTGCCTTTGGCCCGAGTTTGCTTACAACAACAGTTATCAATCCAGCATTGAGATGGCTCCATTTGAGGCTTTATATGGTCGGCAATGTCGTTCTCCTATCGGGTGGTTTGAGCCCGGCGAGGCTAAGTTATATGGTACTGATTTGGTGAAGGATGCTTTGGAAAAGGTAAAGTTGATTCAGGAGCGACTTCGCAGACAGAAGAGTTACGCGGATCAGAAGGCGCGTGATGTGTCATTTATGGTAGGCGAGAATGTTTTCTTGAAAGTCTCGCCGATGAAGGGGATCATGAGATTTGGGAAGAAGGGCAAGTTGAGCCCAAGGTTTATAGGCCCATTTGAGGCGTTGAGGCGGTTTGGGGAGGTAGCTTATGATCTTGCTTTACCTCCCAGCCTATCAGGGGTTCATCCGGTTTTTCACGTGTCTATGCTCTAGAGGTATCACACCAACTTGTCACATGTGTTAGACTTCAGCATTATTCATCTAGATGAGAGCTTGGGTTATGAGGATGAGTCAGTTGCCATTATTGCTAGGCAGGATCGCCAGTTAAGATCCAAGAGGATTTTCGCGGTAAAGGTTCAATAGAGGGGCCAATTAGTCAAGGAGGCGACCTGGGAGTCCGAGGAAGACATGCAGAGTAGATATCCACACTTATTCAGCACTTCAGGTATAATTCTAAACCCATTCGAGAACGAACGTTTGTTTAAGAGGTGGAGAATGTAATGACCCGACCGGTCATATTACTTCTAGAACCACGTTCCCCTAAATAAGGCTTCACGTACGTGCTTTTACTATTTTATGACTTGCGGGGATGGTCGGTTCGGGATTTGAAAGAGTTCGGGTTGAAATCGGAACACTTGGTTCCTTAAGGTTGGCTTAAAAGGCCAAGTTTGACTTTGGTCAACATTTTAAGTAAACAACCTCGAAATTGGGATTTGACGGTTCCAATAGGTTCGTATGATAATTTCGGACTTGTACGTATGTTCGGATCGGGTTTTGGATGACCCAGGAGTGTTTTGGTGCCTAATAGTGAAAGTTGGTTCTCGAAGGTTTTATATGTTCTTTAAATTTGGTTGGGAGCGGGTTTTGGTGATATCGAGGTCTAAACGGAATTCTGAGATCTGAAATAGTTCAGTAATGTCAATTAAGACTTGCACATAAAATTTGGTATCATTCCGAGTAGTTTAAGTATGTTTTGGCGCATTGGAAGTAAATTGAAGAACTTGAAGTTCTTAAGTTTGATTCGATTGGTTTTGGGGTGTGATTCTTAGTTTTAATGTCGTTTCGGACATTCCGAGAGTTCGAGCGAGTCCGTTTTATGATTCTAAACTTGTTGGTATATTTGGACGGGGCTCCGGGGGCCCCGAGTGTCGATCGGACGAGGCTCAGACCAAGTTGGGAGCATGGAGCCACAGCTGAAGCTCCCAGATCTGTCATAATCGCACCTGCACTTGGCCAGCCGCAGGTGCGGGCTGGCAGGTGCGAGCCACGAGCCGTAGAAGCGGGAGATCAAGGGAAGTCCAGGAACCGCAGATGCGGAAGATTGTACGCACTTGCGCGACCACAGGTGAGAGAACTTTGGTCGCAGGTGCGACTAGGCCCGCAGAAGCGGCCCCTTCTGTCTGCAAATGCGGAGACTGGCTAGGTGAGGGAAAAGCACACCTGTGAGGCATTTGCCGCAAGTGCGAGACCACAGATGCGGCCAAGGCACCGCAGGTGCGAAAGTCGTTGGGCAGTAAGGGTTCATTTAATACGGACTTAGGCCATTTTTATCATATTTTCTCTCACTCTTGGGCGATTTGAGAGCTTTGAAGGACGGGATTTCGACCTAGCTTTGAGAGGTAAGTAGTTTTTACTTAATATGAGTTTAATAAATAGATTATGGGTAGATCTTAACATAAAAATTTATAAAAATCATGGGTTATATGAAAAACCTAGGTTTTGATTAAAATGTGATTTTACCACGAAAATGATTATGGAACTTAGTAAAAATTATATATTATGTTCCTAAGGTTATGGGTAACAACTTTCTTAAAATATTTCCGAAATTCGGGCACGTGGGTCCGGGGGTAAATTTTAGAAATCTTGCATTTAGGGTTGGGTAATTGCTTTAATGGCGGGGGTATGAACTTTTGAGCTTAAATTGATTGATTTATATAATGTTTGACTAGTTTCGAGTCGTTTGGTACCAAATTTGGAGGTTTTAGCAAGTTATTGAATCGGGAAGTGGGCTTTGAGACGAGGTAAGTCTCCTTTCTAACATTGTAAGAGAAAAATTTCTCCATAGGTGAATTAATTAATATATGTGACTATTTGTGGGGGGCTACGTACGTACGAAGTGACGAGAGTTCGTGCGTAGTTACTACTTATGCTAAAGTCCGGGTAGTCTAGGACCCCATCATGCCATACTTGAAATAATTGCTCCTTTACTTGTCAATTGAATTGCTTAAATCATAATTTCCATAATTGTAAGAGGATCCCAAAGGGATAAGTTTCACTTAATTGAGGGTATGGATAGAACACTTGACTGCTATTGAAAAACTTGTGTTTCTTTAAGTATTTTCTATTAGTGGAGCGGGCCGAGCGCCTCGGCAGTTTAAATAGATGCATCTATGGTTCGCACCGTTCGACCCTCGACAGTGCACAATTTAAATAATGTTATGTTATTTCAGGCCGTACGTCCTCGTCATTATTTGCGCATGAATATTTTGGAATTTTATACTCATAACTGATATTGCTCCAATGTTTAAATGGAAGATAAATTTGGGATTTATAATTGTGAAAAAAGGTATTTGCCATCACTTACTGTTTAGTTTTAGTATATTTATTGTAATCTATGCTTAGCTATAATTTTAAATTCATTATCATTATCCTTAGCAAGTGTCAAGTCGACTCCTCGATACTACTTCTTTGAGGTTAAGCGGGACACTTATTGGGTACATGTTGTTTTATGTACTCACGCTACACTTCTGCACTTAACTGTGCAGGATCTAAGGCAGGTGCATCTGGATATCCACCCGGCGCGCATTCTTGATTTGGGTTCGAGATTCCACTGTGAGCTGCCCTCCCAAGTCGTTCAGCAGCATGCCGGAGTCCCCATTTTATCTTGTTTCTGTCTATTCCTTTTCAGGCAGTAGGATAGATATCTTTTGTATATTCTACTAAGTTGCCCATATACTTGTGACATTGAATCTTGGCACGTAATAGTAGACTTGTGATTTTGGGTTTTGTTCTTACAGTTATTAATGCTTCTCGTTGTTTTCATTTAATAATTTAAATCGATTTTCATTAAATTTTTTAAGTAAAAGAAAAGATCACGACGTGGAAAAAAAAGATCGTTAAAATGGGAAATCATTAGGTTATTCATTGTTGGCTTGTCTAGCAGCGGTGTTGGACGTCATCACGACCTGATATGGAATTGGGTCGTGACACGCCCGTTTAGTTTAAGTGTTCAATCCAATTTTCTGGACAAGTCTAATGGGGTCTTTATGTATTTTGCCTAAAAGAAATAAGAAAATAGAGCAAAATTAGTTACAATATAGCATTAAAGGTCAAAGTGCTAAAAATGCAAACATAATGCAATGAAATATAACAACATAAGACAAAAGGTATTAAAAATATTATCATTATTATTTCTCTCTCTTTTTATAACCATTCAAATAAGTGACAACTCCTTATATTTACGTTATTTTTTTTTATAAACTATTAACTCTAATATTAGAGTATTTTTTAAGATTTTATATTATTATTTATTTATCAAGCTAACTAGCTAAAAGGGATCAATGGTCGTCATATTTAAGAACTTATACGGAAAAATGACATCGTATAGCCGCTGTAAAAATAATAGTCTAAAAATGTATAAAATTTATATATATTTTGTATATATATATATATATATATATATATATATATATATATATATATATATATATATANTTTTTTCGGCTACCAGATGTAAATAGTTTTTGACGCGGGCTAAAGGTGATAATACTCCAACTTATACTTGTTATTTTATTTTATTCAATAACTCACATTATTTAATATTTCTTTTGTAATCTTTTGCGCATACTAGTTATATATGAATTATGCATATATTATATATTTTACTTTTAAGAGATTAGTTATACACTATTTGAGTTAAATCTTGTAAAAGGAAAGATATTTGGACCCGATTGAGGGGAAGGAGTATGCCCGAATTCATAATTTGAAAAAATTGAGATTAGGGCAAATCGAATTCCGAAATTTGAGACTTTGCTCCTCTCAACTCCACTCTCTCCCATTCTCCGGCCTAATCTGAATCTTGTAAGTTCCTCTACTCTCTAACTCTTCCGTTCTCACCAGACATAAACCCTAATCACTTTTGTTCCCAATAATTTAATGGTAAAGTAGGAAGTTGTGAATTGGCATATGGAACTATGTATAGTTTTCATTATGACTTTTTGAATTCTTTTCGCTTCCCATGTTAGTTTATCTTCTGATAATTTTTGGAAGGAAAGATAATAAGGGCATGAAAGATAGAATTTTTGTTATTTAATGAACTATGATGCCCGTTTGATAGTCATTTTTTAGGTTTGGACTATAATAAACTGTGGAAAAAAAGAATTCAATTGAATTTTATTTTCAATTTATTTTTTGGCCTCAAAGTCAAGGATACTCTCATTGAACTAAAGAGAGTATGCTTTATGGACTTGGGTAATACGGATCAGTCACCTATTGGTTATGCGTGTGTTTGAATTTTTAGCTAGTATTTTGACGGATTTGCACGAAGTACCAGTACCTAGTAGTATCACACGGGTATGGGAAGGAAAATGAAGAGTTAATGTAATGTAACAAAGACTATAGAGTTGGATTTTTAAAATCTTCTTTTGCTCTTTCCCACCTAACTTTTTCTTTTATACAGGATGGAGTAAGGGCTCAATCATGCAGTCTATAATAATGGCTTTTAGATGAGTTGTTCTCTGTCAAATATTACTTTTGCACTCTTTTGATTCTATGCTACTATACTAGTGTTAGAACAAAGAATATAAAGGTGCTTATAAGCCAGTTTGACCAGCTTATAAGCTTAGCCAAACACCCTCGTAATCTTCTTGTGGGTCATAGACATCCTTTCTTAGGCCTATAGTCATAATTATTATGTGTGTGATGAGTACTAGGATTTTTCCTTAGCCGAGCCTCTAAAAATTAGGAGATATTATTGTTACTTTCTGGGGTTCTTGCTGAGGCTGGAGGACGGGATTGGTTTTGGATGGAACTTCTGATTCTGGTTTTAATTGCCAACTTTGACTGTATGATGACTCCATGATAAGAGTTCTTGGTAGCGGGTGGATTTACTATCTTCCCTAATCAGGTTGGATGGGCATCTTTTGATTGATTAAATTTGATATTTCAGTCTAGGAGGGATTCATCATGGATATAGTTATGCATAGTTGAGTTGTTGTATATTTGGAAATATCCCTTTCAAAAAGCAGTTGTATATTTGGAAATATCCCTTTCAAAAAGCAGTTGTATATTTGGAAATATCCCTTTAAAAATTAGTTGTATATTGTATGTGCGCCGGTGCGGTTATACCAGATTAGACAAAATTAGAAATGACCACTTAGAAGGTTCAAATAGTACACAACAACAAAAAACCCAGTGTGATCCCACAGGTGAAGCCTGGGGAGGATAGTGTGCACACAGACCTTACCCTTACCTTGGGAAGGTAGAGATGTTGTTTCCGATAGACCCTCGACTCAATAAAAGCAGTCACAACATTATTAAAAAGAAACATAGTAATAGATACAGTAATGAAAAAGAAGCAGTGACAAGGGGCATTAACAACAACAAGATAATAAGGTAATCGAAGCAAAAGAAAAAAACCGGTAGTACTAGAAATCTAAGTATAAGAAAGTAAGAGAATAATATTGATACTATAGGTATGAAAAAGAGATACGCTCGACTACCTACTAGCCTTCTACCCTAATTCTCGACTTCCATACCCTCCTATCAAGGGTCATGTCCTTGGTAAGCTGCAGGCATGCCATGTCCCGCCTTATCACTTCTCCCTAATACTTCTTTGGCCTACTTCTACCTCTCCTCAAACCAACCAGGGCTAACCTTTCACACCTTCTCACTAGGGCATCTGAGCATCTGCTGTTCACATGCTCTAACCATCTCAGCCTTGCTTTCCGCATCTTGTTCTTATCTCTTCTAGTATGCCCACACATCCATCTCATCATCCTTATTTCCGCTACTTTCAACTTCTGGACATGAGAGCTCTTGACTGGCCAACACTCTGCCCCATATAACATAGTCGGCCTAACAACCACTCTATAGAACTTACCTTTAAGTTTTGTTGGCACATTCTTATCACTCAAGACACCGGATGCAAGCCTCTATTTCATCCACCCCACTCCAATACGATGTGTGACATCATCGTCAATCTCTCCATTACCTTGGATTATAGACCCAAGATACTTGAAACTTTACCTCTTCGTGATGACTTGTGTATCAAGCCTCATTTCCACCGCCACTGCATGTGTAACGTCACTGCACTTGCACTCCAAGTACTCTCCCTTACTCTTGCTTAACCCGAAACCCTTAGACTCTTGGGTCTGTCTCTAAACCTCCAGCCTAGTGTTAACACCGTCTCGCGTCTCATCAATCAGTACTATGTCATCTGCAAATAACATGTACCATGGCACCTCCCTTGGATGTATCGCGTCAATTTATCCATCACCGGGGCAAATAAGAACGAGCTAAGGGCTGATCTGTGGTGTAAATTGTAACCCCATCACAATCGAGAAGTGATCCAAGTCTCTTCCGACTGTTCTTACCTGGGTCTTAGCTCCATCATACAAGTCCTTAATCACACTAGTGTACGCTGCAGGTACACCTCTAGCCTCCAACTAAGTTGCTCCGACGTGACAATTTAGGTGCCACACCCGTGTCGACATGACACTAGTATGGGTGTGGGTATGGGATCCGTACCGGATCTGGTCAAACAATTTTGGGTACTTTGACCACGACGGACGAAAAAATTTGAGACGATATACAATTTAATTCCCGAAATCAAAACCAAAACTAGGGTAAATTTCAAGAAAATAACATACCTTATCTAGGATATCAATCCTTTACCTATCTACAACTTGAGAATAAAAAAGAAATCCACGCTTTACAAGCTATACATAAGTATCCACAAAATTTCTCATAAATTAGAGATATTTTTTATATTTTTATTTTTTTGAATTATTTTTAGTCGGATCCCCGCACCCGTATCCTTACTAGGATCCGTATCCCCGGATCTTAGAATTTACATCTCAAAGGATCCGACCTCTAGATGCCCACCCGTGTCGGACACCTGCACCCGTGTCCGACAACTTAGGCCTCCAAACATCTCCTAGAACCTCTCTTAAGAGGTTCAAATAGCACACATCAAGGTTAAAATGAGAGAAGGTCGCTTGAGATGTTTGGTCATGTTCTGCGTCGACCTCCAGATGCACCGGTTTGTAGATGTAAACTATGGTGAGTGAAGGTATTAAAAGGAGACGAGGTAGGCCTAAAATCACTTGGAAAAAAGTTGTCCGAAGGACCTTCAATCTCTTAGGATCCATGCAAACTTAGAGAAAGGTAGGGCACAATGGAAGGAAAAGATCTATATAGGCAATACCTCATGTTAGCACTTTTACTCTATGTCCTATGCTTTTTAGGAGTTGTTTAGCCTTTTAGAGCTTTATACCTCAGTAGAATATATATTAAGAATTTCTGGTACTTCTTATTTTTTTCTTCTTTTTGTAAGTATTTCTATTTTTATTTGTATAGTATTGGCATGAGATGAGTAACATGGTCATTAAAGATTCATATAGTCGACCCCAACTTGTTTGAGATTGAGTTGTAGTAGTAGTAGTTGTATCCTTTTAAGAAATGGAATTTTTTTCTTGGCAGGATATGTACAAACAAAGAAGAAAAGCGGACACTTGGTTATGAGGGAAAGACCAAGGTGATGTATCATTTCTAGTTCGATTGTCAATCTGCCCACAATTTGTCCAATTAATGGGGTTTTGTTATTATAAAACTTATGATTTTGGGATTCCTCTTATGTCATAGGTTCTTCTGCAAGCTTACTGTATGTAGGTGAAATTAATGAAAGGAGGCTCTTATTTCTCTTTTTTTTTTCAATTGCTCTTTACTTCTGCAAGATGCATGCCATTTATTGATTGAACTGCTGAGAAGAAACTTTTGAGGGTTCCATTTTAATGGCTTCCCCTGAACGAGCAAGGAGTTATGTGAAACAGAATACACAAGATGACACAGAGTTAACAGGTGATAAGTTCAGAGATAATGATGATGACTGGGAAGGGGAGGATAAGAGAAAATACAGGTCAAGCAAGTCAAGAAGGTCTGACAACGGTAAAGATGCTGAAGGTTTAGATAGTGGAAGGAGGAGAAGTACTGCGGAGAGAACTGAGAGTCGTAAGAGGTCAGGTGGATCAAGCAGAGCTGATGGTGACAAGGATGACTATGAAACCAAAAAGGAATCTCGATCTAAGTTGATGAAGAAGAAACTGGAGGAGAATACATTGGAGAAATTGAGCAATTGGTATCAAGATGGAGAACTCGAGAGCAAGTATGATAATGGAGAAAAAAATGGGGGTAGAGGATTTACTCGAGCTGATGAAAGTGATAAATGGAAATCAACTGCAAAGTTTTCTGATGGTGATGGTTCAGAGAAAAGAAATAAAGGCAAAGGTGAAAAGTTAACCGGTGGAGACTTTGAAAATGTGGTGGAAAAAGATTGTAGATATGTGGAAAGAAAGGAGAGTAGCAGAGAAAAGGCTCATGGATCTGAGCAGGCCAGAATCTCAAGGAGAAGGTGGGATGAATCAGATTCTTCCAGGAAAGTTGAAGAAAGTGAATATGCGGAAAAGCTTGATGTAAGGAGTGGAAAACCAGGTGATATAAAGTTGGAGAGCCTCAAAGATCCAGATGGAGATAAAGCTGATAAATATCAGGACAGGGATGAAAGAAGAGCTGATTCTGATAGGAGTAGCAGAGTCCGATCAGAAGCTATAGATGAAGACAGTAAAGGAGCTTTTCCGATACGGGAAGATAGATTGGGTAAGGATAGATTTGAGGAGCATAGGCAGGCACGAGATCCCATGAGTCGTGACATAGTTGCCAGCCGTGAAAGAGTTGTAGATGATGATAGTTCATGGGTAAGAGAAAGGAGCCGGAGAGAAACTGACTCCTCCAACAGGTCCAGGACACCTGAGAGGAGTGGGCGCCATCATTACGATTCAGAATGCCTTGAGATGGAATATGAAAAAAGAGATACTTTCAGGAGGAAAGAACAAGAAAAAGATGGCTACAGAGATGATAAATCAAAAGGAAGGGATGATGGCTGGAGTGAGAGAAATAGGGATCGCGATGATTCCAGAGATGGGTGGAAAAGAAGGCAAGGGAATTTTGCTGACAAGGAAATGAAAGAAGGTGATACACCTTATGAACATGGCAGAGAGTGGGAATTACCCAGATGTGGTTGGATTGACAATGAAAGGCCTCGTTCTGGTGGTAGAAAAGATGGAAACAGGACAGAAGCTGTAAAAACTTCATCAAAATATGGAATTTCAAATGAGAATTATGATGTCATAGAGATCCAGACCAGGCCATTTGACTACGGTAGAGATGAGGTCAGACCTGTCTTAGCAAGAACAAATGAATTTAATCAGAATACTGATGCAAGATTGGCTCCAGCTGATGAGAGGAATGCATTTTCAAGGAATGATAGAGCAAGAATTATGTCCAGTTCAGGCCAATCTGGTCACGATTTGAAGGATACAACAGTTGATGGATCATACAGGGATGATGTTGAATCTCTGGCAGATAAAACAAGAGGCCAGAAAGAAGATGCATCCGGTCGTGCTGCTGGTGGCCAAACTTCAAGTAATGGTTCACAACCTCCACATGGAAACCAGGAGCAGTCTTCCTTTAGTAGGGTTGTTCCACCTGGCGCTAAAGGAAGTAGAATTGGGAGAGGAGGAAGAGGGAGGCCTACAGGGAGGGACAGCCACCAATTGGGACTTCCAATGCCAATAATGGGATCAGCCTTTGGACCCTTGGGTATGCCACCACCTGGGACAATGCAATCTTTGGCTCCTAACATGTCACCTGCTCCTTGTCCTCCCATCTCCCCTGGCGTTTTCATTCCACCATTTTCACCTCCTGTGGTTTGGCCAGGAGCTCGAGGGGTCGATATGAATATGCTTGGTGCACCTGGACTTCCTGTTCCGCCTGGGCCTTCTGGACCCAGATTTCCCCCTAATATGGGGAACCTACCAAATCCTGCGTTGTATTTTAATCAACCAGGCCCCGGAAGAGGAGTACCGCCTAATTTTTCTGGTCCTAATTTTAATACCTTAATGCCGGCAGGTCGGGGACAGGTTCAAGATAAGGGTCCTGCAGGTTGGGTGCCTCCTAGAACTAATGCACCACCCGGCAAAGCTCCTTCGAGAGGCGAGCAGAATGATTACTCCCAAAATTTTGTAGACACTGGCATGAGGCCTCAAAATTTCATCAGGGAACTTGAGCTTACCAGTGTCGTCGAGGACTATCCCAAGCTTCGGGAACTTATACAAAAGAAGGATGAGATTGTTGCCAAAGCTGCTTCACCACCAATGTATTATAAATGTGACCTGCGTGAGCAGGAGCTGTCCCCAGAATTTTTTGGAACCAAATTTGATGTCATTCTTATAGACCCCCCATGGGAGGAATATGTTCATCGAGCTCCTGGTATCACAGACCATATGGAATACTGGATGTTTGAGGAAATAATGAATTTGAAGATCGAGGTATGGCTTTTTGCATATTGATCCCAGTTCTTTAATATAATACATATCTGCTGCTTTATGATGCAGAGCACAAAGTAGACAACCTTAGCTGTGAAAATATTCCCCTCATCTCCTGTTTATTTCACTATTATACTCTTCCAAGTCTTCCCGGCATCGTGTTGAAATTACATTCAGTGACAACCACAGCATGCATTTTTAGCGCGCGCACACACACACACACACATACATACATACATACGTACGTACACAAACACATACACGCACACAAAAACACTTTAGCTTTTTTAACATTTGGAAATGACTTGGTAATCTTTGGCTTTTCACTTTCCTGTTAGCTTCATCCTTTCTGGTTCTGAATATGTTATGATCATTGAGCTGTCTTTGTGTCACACAGGCAATTGCTGACACTCCATCGTTCATTTTCCTTTGGGTTGGTGATGGCGTAGGGCTTGAGCAAGGGCGTCAATGTCTGAAGAAGGTACATAATTGAAGCAATGAGAAAGCTTAATATGGTCACATATTTGCTTGTTTCCTTGCTATCTCTAATTCTATTCCCCC